TTACAATGTTTTTTTTCCCCCTCAAAGTCTGTTGAGATACTTAAATTGAAATATGGTTGTAAAGCACTTGCACTGTTGCAAATGGCAGCTCTTGACAGTCATACTAACACACTGATTGACAGTGTCATTAGAGCCTTGCTGAAGGGGGAGACAGTCTTTTTCTGCCCTGTGATTCATCGCAGGCCACATGAATGGAAGAGTAGTGATGGCTACTCTCAGGAGTTGCCATGTTCTAGAAAGTGACCCAAAACTCTTCTAGTTGAATGAGGTGGCAGCAGGTCAGTGTGTGGGCTGGGCTGAGACAGGAGCACCAAGGAAGAAGTGGCACAGTTGTACTTAGCAGAGGATCAGTGGCCACTGGCAAGGACACAATCACAATGCCCTCCAACAGGAAAAAACCCTTTTTAGGATCATCTACAACATTTTTTATGAACAGACAGGATATTATGAAGTTGTATTAACAGTTTACATTGTTGCTAAAATGTTAAGGGATATTGAAAAATTTGAATTCATTTATTTATTTAATCAAAAATGTTAATGAGTACCCACTATGTGCAGGAGCTAGGATAACAAATTTAGTAAATGGGTGGGGTCTTGGCCTTCATGCAGCTTGCATTCTAGGCCTGACTGGACACATATAAAATGCACAAGAGGTTCTCATTTAATAGTGAGTTTGTGAACATAGTAAGATGTCTTAGGAAGAGGACAGGTGAAGCCAGGCATGGGCTTGCTGTGCGTAGGGCAATTGAGCTAAGATCTCAATGAGAAAGAACCATCCTTGGGAAGACAGAACCAGGCAGAGACCACGGCTCTGAGTCAGTAATGAAAAACAAGACCAGAATGTCCAGAGGAAGGTACAGGCAGAGGAGTAGTTTGAAATGATGTGGGAGAAGTTGGGAGAAGCCAGATATGAAAAGACCTTGTAGACCCTAAAGACAAAAATGCCATTGAAAGAAAACTAAGAAGCTAGCAGAAGCCAAGATAGGCAATAGGGTAACAGAGCATTGATTTCCAAACCAACTAATGAAGGCCTGGTTGATTTTCAGAAAGGAAATATGCCATAAACTTTCAGCATGTTTTAGTGTCTAATGCAACTGTTGGGCTATGGGGTTGCATGAACCCCATTGTCTTAGTCACTTGCTATTACCAAAAATATGGCCAGCAGATTATTGTGTGTGTGCATGTGCATGTGTGTGTGTGTATGTGTGTGTATGTGTGTGTGTAGGAGAGAAAGAGTGTTGGGATTGAACCCAGGACACTCTATACTGAACTATATCCACAGCCCTTTTCATTTTGAAAAGGATCTCCCTAAGGTGCAGAGGCTGACTTCAAACTTGCAGTCCTCCATCCTCAGTCTCCCCAGTCACTGGGATTACAGATGTGCACCACTGACCCAGAAGGTCTGTTTTAAACCCAATATATAGCTAGTGTAAACTAGTGGATGTCATGTAATGACAACGGTCTTATAGTCAGAGTCCAGAGGTCAAATTTAAGTTCCCTGTTCACATCTGCTGAAAGACTCTGGGCAGTCATTGAGATTGTTTCCTTACATTATGTTGACGGAATTACCACCACATAGGAAAATTGTGAAAATTTTGGAATTTCCTTGAACATTTTAAAGCATCTTCCAAATATGTCTTGCTAATTCAAAAGTTATTTTCTAAATTTCTTGTCATTGTTGTTTTCAAGTAAAACCACTAGGGGTCAGAATTTCACATAAGTTTCTAAAAGAAACCACCAAGGGTAGAAAAAACAGCACTTTTCTACTAAAGCAGCATAAAACAACAAATTAAGGCACAGAAAGAAAAATAATGGTGACTTTCAACAAATAAGTTTTGATAATTGTAATGATGCTTATTTCCCGAATTGTTACTTAACAAACTTAGGGAAAATTGTTACATATCTATTTTTGATGTTTGGTTATTTCAATATTTTCAGGACAAGTCTACAATGAAGGTTCATTTTTCAAATAAAGAAACAGAAGCAAAAAGTAGATATAATAATAAGCTGAAGATCAAGCAGACTGAATACATAGTGCCTTTCTTTCCACTAAGTGATACTTAGGAACTTGTACTCTAAAATAATGTCTTTATATTGGGCAACTTTTCTATAACTGAATAGTATTACTGGTTGTTTTCCAACTGAAACTCAAAATAACTTGCATATTTCCTATATGAGATTAAAGTTAGTTCCTTTTATTGTCTGTTTCCCATACTATCTAGAGCTTCTGAGCTCAGTGCTGCAGTGCCAGTAAATAAGGTAATGAGATGGTTAGTCAAAAATACAGACCACTTAGTCTTAGGAAAAATATATTAACAAAAGTGATAACCCAGCCCTTTGAAGTGTTTATCTAGCCATTGAGCATTTTGTTTTTTCATTCTGTGGAGTTAAAGATCCAAGTCTGCCTTGTTTGGGGTTGGGAGGGGCTGTTACAGTATTCATAAAGGAATGAAGTAGAGATGGTATTCTATATTTGAGAGAAGTTGCCATATCTTGTTTTTTGTTGTGCACACGATATCTCACATAGCACCTATTGTAGAGGAAAAGCAGTAATAAATATGCTTAGATAGTTCCATGTACATTTGTAGGCAATTTGTAGAGAAAGAAACAAGTGTTGATCCTAAGAGTCTGCAGTCTAATCCCAAACTTACCCTGTAGACCTAACTCCTAGGAAGGTTCCTTATTTTAGCTTTAAACCCTCGGCATCTAACCAAGGACTCCAGGGCTGTACAGTACATTCCAGAATCATGGCATCTATTTATTAAGAAGGAACTTAGAATGCTTTTGATGCAAAGTCCCCAGGCTCCAGGGAAGAGAAGAAATGGCATCTTGAGTCCCTCTTCCAGTGTCCCTCTTCCTTAGATGTGTCACATTTTCATCCTGCCATACTCTGGTTGTAATAATCTCATAATTCTACACAGACTCAAGAATAGAGTTAAGGAAGTTTCCATCCCTTGAAATTGTAACAGCATTTGTAATGGGAAAGAGTTTTGTGGTAGGTGAAGAAATAATGATAAAAGGATACAGGGTAGACAGCCTGCTGACATTCAGCAAATATTAATTACATCCTGATTAAAACAATAAAGTAAAATAAGATGCTTTCAAAGGATTTCTAAAGTATACTCCTTGCTTTTTTTCTTGGAAAGATTTAAGGTTTTTATCTATACTTTTTAATTTTTTAAAAGCAAGGATTAAGCAGGGCATGGTGGCAAATGCTTATAATCTGAGCCGCTCAGGAGGCTGAGGTAGGAGGATTGCAAGTTCAAAGGCAGTCTCAGAAACTTGGCAAGGTCCTAAGGAATTTAGTGAGACCTGGTCTCAAAATAAGACATAATAAGGGTTAGGGATGTGTGTTACAGTGGCTATGCACCCCAGGATTAAATCTCTGGTCAAAAAAAAAAAAAGAGCAAGGATTAAGGGGATTCTTCAGCCAAGTGCATTCAGCACATTTTCTAGTTTCTGTTAAGCTTTACCCATTCCTTGGGTATTCTGATCTGCCTAAACAATTCTTACCTAAGACCCATCTGAGTCACTATCATCTTAGAAAATCTGCTCTGACCTCTGTGCCCCCATAAATTATTTACCTCTTCATTGTTTATGGCACTTAGACATATTATCCTGTGTACATCTTGTGCCTAAAATAGTGCCTGACACTTATTAAGTTTTCAACATATGCCAGTTAAATTGCAATGAATGAAATTGTTACATTGACATATATTATATCTTGGAAATTATTTTAATAATACCTTATTGTTCTTTCAGTTGGAAAGTTACAGTTTCTGTGCATGGAAAATGATTTACTGGTGCTCCTTTTAAACAGACCCTCCCACTTACACAATCAAGGAAAACATTAATTTCAGCTCTGTCCATGACACCACAGTAATAACACAAAGTTTCCTACACTCTTTGGAAAATACAGTAATGGTTTTAAGTAAATACTTTATTTCTAATCAAAACTTTCTTTTCTGAACATTTGCCCTCACATTATTCATTTATTCACTCAAGAAATTATTTGGAAGCCCCAAGGTCTCATTGTTCCTTCTTGCATTTATTTTATGGTATCAAAGGTTAAAACTTGGATTGCAATCTTTGGAGGAAATTAATTCACTGATTAAAAAATGCACTTTAAGCAATACACATTTAAATAACTGACAAACATCAGGCGTTTTAAAAAACAGTTTTTGGAAAGACCCTTTTTTCTACTTAAAATTTTAAGCAGCTGCAATTCTTCTGCCCTATAGCCTGAAGAAGCATAGCATGAATTACTAATAAGAGAGCACCAATCTGCAGTGCAGTGACCACTTTCAGAACAAAAGGGTAAGAGCTGAAGCCAGGAAAGCAGATTTATTTTTTATTTTTAAATTTTTTTTTTCAACCAGTTGCTTGAAGCATATTTGGACCTTGGCTCTGCTTGGAAAAAAATTGCAATATTCAATCATTCTTCAGCGAAAGGCACTTGACCTCAAAGATTCTACTTTCAAATAAAGAATTGTTCATTTATACACTACCTCCAATCTTTCACCCCATCACCCCCCAAAATTCATCCTCTTCATTGGAACCTAGGAGCCAATTAATTAATGAAAAATATGTTTAAGATTTAAGTTTTCTTTCACTGAACTTTTGCCTAAATAGCTTTAGCAGAATCAGTATGAGAAAGGGGAGGAAGAAAACCAGCCCAAGAATAGAGCTAGATGCTCTTAAAGAAAGTGTTTCTGAAGAACAATGACTTGGATGCAAATCTTCCTGTGGGTATGATGGAGGAGATTTCCTCTGTCCCCTGGTAAATTCAATCAGATTCCTACCCCAGGGCTTACATCTCCTCCCAACCTTCTCTTACCTAATATCAGGGAAGACTTCAAATAAGTACCTACTAGTGATTTCCCAAAATATAGGTGGGAGAAAGTTGATAAAGGGGATAAAGGAAAGTCATTGAGAACATAGAGTGGGGATAAGGGAAGAGATGGTCTTTACTACAAGAGATTGAGGGTTTCTTTCCTCACCTTTGGGTCCTGGTGAAATTGTGTGTGTAGCGCAGACTTCTGTGGTAGGGCGACTATCAATATCCAGACCCAGACTCTGAATTTGCAAGAGAAAGAAGAGCAGGAGGATGAACTGATTGTTTCGAAGCAGGACTCCAAAGCCATTCATTGCTGAAGTTCTTCAGAAAAGGATTTTCCTGAAATGCCAAATAAATAGCTTTATGTTAAATCAAACTTCTGCTACAGGGAAGAAAGGGAAGGGTTGGGGGCACACATTCCAGAAAGTGCTACAAAGACAAGAAGGAAGCTGACCCTGAATTTTGTTTATTTTTTCAGTATCCCAAATAAACCGTACATGGTCCAGACTGTTTATTCTCAAGTGACAACAGTTTATTGAAAACTATCTCTTAACTAAACACTTCAGTGCGCAGGCCAGGAGAAACATCCCGAGACTAAAAAGGATAGGGGTGCCTCTGCTCAGTACTTGGTCTGACAATTTTTAGGTTGCACTGAATTTAAATGCTGGGTACCAGAGAGTTGTGAACCAGATGTTTTTGCAGATATGATGCAAACACCCTGTAAGACTTTGAACTTTTCCCGAGGTGACATTCATCAGCTGATGTGGCAGCTGACCACAGAGGCTTCCAATGTTCCCCATGTCTTTCTCTTGCTAACAAAAGTGATCTTGGGATTAAATCTCAAAGGAAAGAATAACCATCTTTTCTGCAGAACAATTTGGCAATAAGTAAAGAACATTAAAACCGTAAAGGTGGCCCTTAGAAATTGCCCTCTGGCAACTAACTCAAGGAAATATTCTGAAATGTAGATAAAGTTTTATTTCAAAAGATACACTAATGGTTGGCAAATTATGGTAAATAGAAGTGTATGAGAGAGTATGATGTGACTGTTTTCTTAAAGTGGTGTTTGTAGCAAATTTTTCAAGTGGAGGAAATAGCTTACAATATTATGTTTCTTAAAAGGCAGACTAGATTTAGACACAGATTATATAGATCTGATAAAGACATAGATATGAACTTTGAGATCAATCAACCGACTAACAGACCTACTTACCTACTGGCCTGCCTGCCTGTCTGCTCACCTACCTATTCCAACAACCCACATCCTGTATGACTAACCGTGGCTTGATAAGATATTGGAAGATTAGAACCAGAATCATTTACGAGAGGTTCCTTGCCTTCTTTGTTCTCAAAGACACATTAACTGAGAGTTGGGTGAAAGGGATTCTCAACCTGCTTTCCATGAATTTGGAAAAGATGGAGAGATATTGTTACAAATAATGGTCAATCCAAGAAATATGGGTATTCAACTTCCCCAGAGCTGTCATTAAAAGGATCACAAACCCAATGGATTACTCAATATACATCTTTTTTCTGAGATACTGGGGGTAAGGACTTCAACATATGAATTTTGGGTGGAGGACACAACTCAACACGTGATGGCAGGCTCATGGTATGTCTGAACTGATCTCTTTATCAGCAATACAAGGAGAGAGGGAAAGGAGTTGACATCAATCCAACAGTCACTATGTATAGGCAGAGTTCTGCTCTCAATTCATGTTTACTATATTTAGACCTCAGAGCATATTTATGGTTCAGATAATAATTCTCCCATTTTGCAGACAAAGTATCTGAGGTTTAGGAAAATTAAGCAACTTGCAAACAGTCATATTCATTGAAGAAGCCATCCTTCCAAAATCAAATGCAAATTCTTTCCAAAAATCCCTGCTCTTAGGTGGGGCAGAAAACTATTTGGTTTCCATAGGATGAATATTCTCAGCCCTTGAGAATGCACTAATTTTACACATGCTTAAAATGTCCAGAGTGGATGTATTTGTGAGGTTAACAGTGATAGGAAAATAGTGAGAACTAATACCATGAGGTTAGAAACCTCAGATTTCATGTGTTATGACCAGATACATGACACAGAGCAAGATACTCAGCTTCAAGTGCCATAAGGCATATAAAGTGAGGTGGATTTGCTATCTAATGTTCTTTTTGAATTCTATGATTCTTTAAAATTGATGCTCTTTAAATTGTTTAGATTGCTCTAAATCCATTCCACTTCTGCTTCTTTTTTAATCTTGAAGCATCTCTTGGACTGCCATGAAAGTATAATCATTACATTTACATCTAGAAATCCACTGGTAAAAATCTGAAGAAAATAGTAGTTCTCAGAATTTTTCCATGGTATGTCCCATTTCTTCTCTTTGAAACCTCTATTCTTTTTTTTAACTGAGCAACGTCTGTAAGTATATTTCTGTGTTTTTCAATAGATTATTACATCAAAATTTAAATTGCCATGGAGTATTCATTGCATATTTTATATATAAAGCAATATTTAATCAGTCAATGCTCTATTTCTGGGAACTTAAATATTTTTATATTATTAACATAAATAATACTGTGATGAACATCTTTGCAGCTCAATCTGCATGTCCAATTCCTTTTTTCTCTCGAGGAAGACAAATGCATGTGGCTTGGTAATTCATTGAATCTTAAGAGTAACAGGTAAAGGTAAACGTTTAAAAATATCTCATGTTATAGTCATATTCTACTCCCTTTTCCCAGTCATATTCTACTCACTTGTCTCCAGGTTTTTTTAACCCTGGTTTGGAAACTTCAGTTCCATTTATTTCTCACTGAAAAAAAGGAGGAGCTTATAAATAGGTGGATATTAAAAGAAGAGGACTTTAATGGAAGAGAAAGGGCTGCTCTCTTTTAAGCCAAGATTTACAAAGAAAAGTGATCTTCAAAATTACTTTGAAGCTTTGACCTAGACGATTGGACAAGTGTTACTTCCATGAAGTCAAGCTGGTAAAGAATCAGTTTTGAGGTAAAAATAATGAGGCTGATTGAGTTTAAGGGTCAGGGAAATAACTGGTGGAGGTTATGAAAGCAGGGAGTTTGGGATGCAGGTCTTGATTCTGTTGCATGTTGAGAGAGCTTGTATTTAGTCACCAGAAGAAGAAGGAAGGGCTAGAAAATAAATCAGAGAGATGGCAAAATGTAATGGAAGCCAATGGACATGTCCTGGTACCAACAGATGCATGGATACACTGTTATGGGCCAGGCTATATGGGCAATGACCAAACAGACTCCATTTTACCCTGAGACTCCATATCATGTAAGAAATGCTTCTCCCATGGGAAAGCCCTGCTTCTGTACCTATTAATAGTTACCTAGCATAGCATACTTGGTGAACAAAATAGCAATTCTTACACTATTGTTCTCTTTGGTTTCCATTTTTCTTGAGCAATGTACCATTGTCTTGACGTTACTAACCATTCTCTAACCTGCACTGAATTAGTGTCATTTTGACCTACTTTCCTTCTGCTTGCTTGCTGCTATGCCAACCTGAAAAGTCCTGTGGGAAATACCAATGTACCCATTGCATTGTCTTGCTGACTGCACAATTCAGCTTCTGTACCTGCTTGCTTGCAGCTATGTCAGCCCCCATGTGGTTTTTGCCTTTAAATATCCTAAAATGCTCAGGCTTGGGGCTGGTCCTTGCAGAGAGACAGTTGTGGGTCCTGCGGGGAGCAGTCACCGGCTGGCCTGCTAAATAAAGACTCTTCAATTTGGACAAAACTGGGACTCAGTGTTTTCTGAGTGACCTGCCCCAAAACAACATAAGACAAAGGCTGAGACAAACTATAGGATTTAGGAGTCAATAATTTGTAAGTAGATCCTTATAAATGAAGTAAACAATCCAGTGGCATAATTTTGGAAAGCTGAGAATGTTACTGAAAGCTTGGTCCTTTTTCCTAATGCCAATCCAATAATAAAGGCAAGGCTTTGAGAAAAAGGCAAAAGAAGTTTCATTGCTTTGCTAGAAAAGGAGAAACACGGGGAACTCCTGTCCCAGAGTCTGTGATTATTCCCATCATGAGGAGAAGTTTTTCTTTTTCTTTTTTCTTTTTCTTTTTTTTTAACAGAGGAATTTTGTTTCTTGAGATTAGGGAGATGCAAATAGGGAGGAGAAGATCAGAGAGAAGAGGACTTAGGGAGGAGAGGATCAGGGAGAAAAAGGTCAGGGAGGAGAAGGTTGGGAAGAAGAAAAAAATGTCAGTTTTAGAGCAACAAGGGGGTATATTCAAAGCATAAAGTGAACCACTGTTACTAGAAGAAAGGAGTGACCACTGGAAAATCACTGTTGAATGGTCCTGTCTATGATAAAATTAATAATAATAACAACAACCTCTGTTGAATGCTTGCCATGTGACAGGCACTGTGCTAATGATTTAACATGGTATCATGTTGTTGAAGAAAAAAATAATACAGTATTTATTGTATTCCAACTGTGAGTCATTTAAGAGAATAAGGTATATGCTTGAAAATTGTGAGCCTGATACAGTATTTTAGAAGATTTTTCAGGCTTCTTGATATCCCAATAAATATGAGATGACACAAACTTTAGGATAGAAGATATGATTGGATTAATGACAGAAAGTTGTCAAATTATGTTAAATGTATATTCTTCGGCTACAAATACCTAATGCTACCCAGAGAGATTTCTATCATCACTTAAAATAATTGACTTTCAGTTACTCAAAAAAAAAAAAAATGAAGCCATTGAGAATTTCAACTCAGTGCTGGTTTTTCTTTAAAACCTAGTTTTGAAATAGGCATCAAACCAACAAATTTATAGCTGGCATTAAATTCGAAGGGAGGGAATAAATGCAAATCTAAAAAGAGAAGAATCATTGGTCAGTTTATAAAATTGTCTCCATAATTCCACATTTTCTGGCTAATTTCATCTTCCATCTTCCAGGGCACTGAAATTCCAGGCTTAGCTTTATGCTTCCCAGATGACATGTCACAAAAGTGAATAACAAATGATATTTTCCCCCTATTGTTCTTCTACCCATTTCTATTAGGTTGAATGGTGTACCCTCACAAAACATGCCCACATCCTACACCCTGAACCTGTGAATGTAACCTTATTTGGAAAAAAGGTTTTTGCAGATATGAATAAGGGAAGGATCTTGAGATTACTATGGATTGTCTGGGTGGGCCCTAAACTCAGTGGCAAGTGCCCTTACAAGAGACACCTGAAGGAATGAGACAGGGACAGAAAGAGAAGACACATGAAGACAGAAGCAGATATTACAGTTAAGCAACCACAAGCCAAGGAAGAGACTTGCAAACACCAGAATAAAAGGCATGGAAAGATTCTCCCCATGGGCCTTTAGAGTGATCTCAGCCCTGCTGACACCTTGACTTCATGCTTTTGGACTTCCAAACTGTGAGAAATCGCTGTTATTCTAAGTCACCAAGTTTTTGGTAATTTGCTATGGCAGCTCTAGGAAACTAATATACTAGCTTTGTGATATTCATGAACAGTTACTGGAAGAAATGACACATCAAAACATTTGC